AAGGAAAAAGACAAGGACCCCATCATCATAGGGCTTAGTGTTACCAATGAGAATTGAACTCTTGACCTTCCATTTAAATAACCAAGACTCTAACTACTAACCCATGAGTGTTTCTTGAAACCTCAAGGGAACACTCTCTTGATAAAGTCCTTACAAATCCCTAAGACCCACAAAATCCCCAAATCAAAAACCCTTATTCTTCTTCCCTTTCTCCTTCTTCTTCCCCACTCCCTTCCCTACTCACCCTCACGCCCCTCGCCGCACCCCACCGGAGAAACCCCCCAACCACTCGACGCCACCACCAACCTAACGCCGCCGCCGGCCAACCACTTCCCGCCGGTCCCACGCCGCCACACCAGCACCCCGCCACCTTCGCCCGGCGAACGCCCAGCCGCCGCCCGCTGCCACGCATCGCCCAACACCCGTCACCACCCCTCGCCGAGCCACCTCCTCCCCTCGCCAAGCCACCGTCGGAGCACAGCTCGCTGCCGCCCACCTTGCCCGCATAGAAAAACGCGCCGCCGGAAAAGTCACACCACCGGAGCACTCGCCGGAAACGCCACTTGAAAGAAAAAGAAAATGCCGAAAAAGCCCCTCGGAACCCGCACCCCAGAGTGGAGCAACGCCGATTACACCGTAATCGGAGGTAAAGCCCTTGAACCCGACCAATTTTCTCCGGAATTGGTTGATATACTTAAACACCAAGGACTCCTAGATACATATCTCACCATCAAGGGGGATATGTACCCCGAATTGGTGAAAGAATTCTATCAACATCTTATAGCCACCAAACGGGGTGACAAACTAGAAATCACCACCAAAGTCCGCGGCAAGGAAATTGTGCTTTCCGAAGGCTGACTGGCCAAGCTCTTGAAATTGACCACCACGGGTGTGTCTAACTACGACCGAAAGGGATGGATAGATACCCAAAACACGGGGTACAAGGACTATCTCGGGTACCTACTCGGGAGAGAGGACGGGTTCACCTCGGCCACGCGACCGAACCAAAAGTGGCTATCGGCGGAGCAAAACATATTGGTTATGATTGTGACCGATAGCCTCTTGCCCACCAATAACAAGAGTAAGGACGTGGGGAGCTTAGAGTGCACTTTTGCCTATCTCCTGAAACATAAAATCAAGTTCAACCTGCCGGCACTCATGTTAAAACACATGGAGTTTTGCAAGACAAACAACCGGCTTAGCCTACCCTACGAGATGATCCTAAGTTGGATCATGGAGAAAAAGGGGGTGGACCTAAGCCACACCGAGGTCAAGACCGCAAATGGCATGGTCTTTAACGCCCAGAACCTACGCCGCAACGACATCTACTACACCGAGTGAGGACATTACCTCACCCTCGAAGAAATTTGCCAAAAACCCGAAGATGAACGAAGAGAATTGGTCGACCAATTAGACATCTCCAACAAGAAGCTCAAACGGGCAATGCAGGATTGCGGAATTCTGGAGGGAAATGAGGACCAGGAGGAGGACGACGAACCCAACCCGTCAGTGCAACCACGATCAGGAGGGAACCCAAGGGAGCAAAACGAGGGCTCAATCAATGAACGCATACTCGCGCAGCTCAACCGGCAAAGCCAAATCATGGAGGAAGGATTCTCATCCCTGATCCGTACGACACGCGCACTAGATCAGAGGGTGGCAGCAATCGAGGCCACCTTGGGCACTCGCAGGGCATCCAGCTCAGGAGCATGAGACCGAGGTAGACCTAAAACCCTTCTATCACAACGCCACTAGAAATCCAGTCTACCCCAGCTAAGGCAAAACGTGAGGCCACATTCCTAACCGGGAGGCCAAGATACGGGATGCCTAGGGGTGAAAGAGTGGATTAACACACCGGGCTTCGGGGACGAAGCCCCTCGTAAGGGGGGGGGGGGGGGGGAGAGAGTGTAACACCCCGTGTTACGACCCCTAAAATCAATTAAATCATTTAGCCAATTTCCCAAAAGAAAGAATTAAATCACAATAATTAATTTGGAAAGGCCCACCATAGTCCACGGGCCCTTATCCCTAAACCCAACCCTTAGTCCCAAAAGGAATAGAATTAGCAAGCCTATAATATTAGTTCCTAATTAGGTCTCCTAAATATATAAATAGGGGACTTAAGAGGCACCTAGAAACCCCCCACCACAATAACGTTCCACCCTCCCAAAGAGCTCCAAGAATTCCCTTAGAAGAAATCAAGAAAGCAAGAAAGCTTAAAGAAAGACCCTTCATAGCCAAGGAATTAATTAAGGCTAAGAGGTAACCCATGTCTCAACAAAACCTATTTTCATAGCTATGATTCCCCTCTTAGGATTTCCCCATATTATTGTGTATTGATGATATGTGATTTTATTATTGATGATTGGTGGGATGATTCCATGGGTGATCTTGATGATGAAAGGTTCTTGATAATTATGGTGTTCTTCATGATTATATGATGTTCTTGATGATTGTAGGATATTCTTGATGTTTATGTGATATCCTTACCAAATCTTGATATTAGAAGATGAATTGTGTCCTTGTTGATTTAAAAGTGATTAGAACCCTAGGTTGTATCGTATGGAATTATTCTTGGTATATTGGGTGGGATTTCGCATGATTGGGTGTTTATTATGTCTAGAAAAGCATGATAGGTTATGTGTCGTTTGTTTCTTGATTTTGACACCGTTAATTGTCTATGTGTGTTATCAATTGCGTTTGAAAGTGTCTAAGCATGGTTTCGGGTTCCACAAAGGTTCCCGGGGCGTTTTTGATGAAAAAGAGTCAGTGGGGGGTAGGTGGGGGTAGGGGACCCGCCACCTACCCGCGGCCAAATCAGGCAACGCCAGCAGCGGGCAGCCGGCGGGCGGGCAGCTGCCCGCCGGGCACCCGCTGCCCGGATTTGTAGAACGCCGGCGGGTGACCCCCACCCACCGGCTACCCGCTGGAAATTCCCCCACTTCGGGACCCCGGCTTCCCCGTTTGATGTTCCCCCGACCCCCGTGGTGTCCCAACGGACTCCGTCTATCGTGCCTATGTCTAGTTTGATTTTCGGGTACCGTTCGTAGGTCGTATGAGTCTTATATATTGCATGCTAGTTGAATTGGTATCCCGTTGACCTAGGTGAAAGAAGTATGAATCCCTTAGGAATATTCTTAGTATGTGAAGGATCACGCATAGGTTTTGTTATACGTTTTCTCCCCCTTCCCAATGTGTTAATATGGGTTGCATGTGCTTGCTATGTGTTACGTGTGCATGTTACCCCGATTTGGTTGAGATCAATCGGTCTATACGGACAGTCGGGTGGGCTGAGAACCATACCGGCTGTTAACCAGGCTGGTAGAGACCGGTCAGATATATAAATATTATATAGGACTAAGGTCCACTATACGGGCAGTTGAATGGGTTGAGAACCATCCCAACTGTTAACCAGGCTGGTAGAGACCGGTTAGGTATATAAATATTATATAGGACAAAGGTCCACTATACGGGCAGTTGAATGGGTTGAGAACCATCCCAACTGTTAACCAGGCTGGTAGAGACCGGCCAGGTATATAAATATTATATAGAGCTGCGGCTCAGCGGTCGGTTGCGATCAACCCCTCCGTGCTGTGAGACGGGGTAGGGTGCTGCGGGGCCGTGTCAGAGCTATATGCGCTGACCCTCATGTATGGGCATGCGATTGGTCCTGTGGCGCCAACAAAGTGTGCTATGTGATGAAGTATGGATGAGTTGTTGTTATGAGTATCTTGGGAATGAGACTATGGGATTTATACCGGGGATCGTATATGTTGGGTTATGATTATTAATTGTGCTTATCTTATCTGTCTTGCCTGTTGTAAACTGCATATGCTGGGTATAACTACTGTCTGTGCTTAGCTCTATCTGTCGAGTCTATCCCTGTCTTAAAAGCTAGAGTTCGTAGGATATATCTTCATGTTCGAAATGGTTTTCGTATATATATATATATATATATATATATATATATATATATATATATATATATATATATATATATACCTATATGTATACCTATATGTATTGTATTTCAACGCGTTGGAGTGGGTTACCAGCATCTCTCGCTGAATAGATATATTTGGCTTTCAGGCACAGACGAGTAGATCACTGGAGCGCGCTAGAAGCTTGGGCGTAGCTTAGATAGTTTTCCCTTTCGGCCTGCGTGCCATGATTTAGTATTGATACTGATTGAGGATATTAGTTAGTCAGCCTGTGCACCTGAGTTCTCTAGCTCAGGTGTGGCATAGCACCCCGTACTCTGATATTATGTTTTGGGATTTAATGAGATTTCACCTTTATTTTACAAGTTTTAAATATCTCGAAAATTTGGGGTGTTACACGCACCACCCCGGAGGCTTTGTCGGATCGACGCCGATTTTATACACGACACGGGCAAGGCCACAGTTGGGGCAATTCTCCTGGACATGAATGGAGGGTATGTCTCGGCCTTCAGTGCACCTCTCCCGGATTGTTTTTCACCACTTATGGTCGAGGCGTTGGCATGCAAGGAAGCCTTAACATGGTTAAAGGATCGATGGGAACAGAATATTGAGGTATATACAGATTGTTTGACGCTACAGCGCTATCTTACTACGCCACCTACTGCGTTTCACTCTTACGTCGGCTATGCCATTGACAGCTGCAGAGCAGCTGCGAATTTTTCCAGTCTTGTTCTTTTAATTTTATTACTAGACTAGATAATTATTTAGCTCATGCTTTAGCTACTTCGGCTTACCAGCAGACTGCTGCTATGTACTGGGATCTTCTCCCACCTGACATTATTTCCGCATATTTCTAATGAAATACCACATATATTTTTCAAAAAAAATAAAAAATTAAACTTACAATTATAACAAAAATTAAGTAAACATATACTATTGAAATTAAAATTTTTATTAATCATCGATATAAATTTTTTAGTAGTGATTAAAATAAATACAACTTTATGTACGGAGTATCAATTTAAATATATAAACCCTTATTACGATATAGAGTTTTTTGTAGGAGGGTTTTGAAGTTAAAACCTAGAGGAGTGCTGAACAGAGATTGAAGTTTCTTCCCATGGCGTGGAGGCAATTCTTTTCCCTCAACAGAAGATTTCCTATACCATCAAATGCTGCACTGTCACCCTTCGCAGGGTTTTCTAGTTTCTCCTCCAAATCCAATCAGTACATAGGTATGATTTGTTGGAAATCAATACATGATAAAACATTTTTTCTTTTCTTCATTTCGCTATATGCTTATGTTTTTGGGTAATTTGAAAATGTTGCAGTGAAGGTGGGGATTCCAGAGTTCTTGAACGGAGTGGGGAAAGGGGTAGAGACCCATGCCGAAAAGATTGAGTCCGAGATCGGAGATTTCCAGAAGCTTCTGGTTACTCGAACCCTTAGGCTCAAGCGTCTTGGCATCCCCGTAAAGCATGTAAGTTCCCTGCAATGCTTCTCCTTTTGCTATAGATTACATTTTTTATTTTTTTATTTTTTGTCAATTTCTGTATTGTGTCCTTGGAATTGTAATGGCCATGATAATTATTTCTGAAAATTTTGACATATCTCTGGTTTTCTTTTCTTTCTGAACCAGCTTTGCAACTAGGGTAACTAAGTGATTCACCCCCCTCTCCCCCCCCCCCCCCCACCCCCCCACACATTATAATCCCCTGTAGAATTCAGTTGGTTCCTCTTTCAAAGTCTTAGTATTTTTACTTACAAAAATGCTTTTCGAATTGGGAGTTCTACAAATATCTTTTGATTATCAGTAGTTGTCCTTGCTGCTATGAATTTCATATTGCCTATTTGCCCTTTGCTATCTAAATTTTTTCAGTGTGTCCCAAAGATTAATAATGGGCTTAGTTTCAGACTAATGTAGCTACCAATAGAATGATTTGATGCAAAAATTGATAGTGGGCTTACTAATTCTGGTCCCTTAGACTTTATTTCTTATGCACATGCACCCCTAAACTAACAAGGGTGTAACAGGAATAGTGCTGTAATGCCCATGACTTTGGGATTTATGTAGTTCCTTTGCGTTGGATGGAAAGTAATTTATAAGGTACATGAAAACAAATAGATAATATCCCTGTGCCAAATTCAAATCTGTGCTGAAATTTGCAAAAAATGCTAATTGGCCAGTTGATGGACGGTGATGTTTCCAGTTGAAAATTTAGCCTAGGTAAGTAGGTAATTTATTGATGAGCTAGGTCAGGAATATATGGGATTGCCTGTAAGGAGTATATATGTATATTGTTTATACTTTATATACACCAAAATTCAGCAGCAAGTATCTTAAATTCTTATTTCAAAGGGTCATTGTGATTTTTGAATATATAGTAAGCCATAACACATGCTTTTCTTCAAGCTTGACCTTGAATCCGGTGGTTGTTCCAAGTAGTGCATTGAAATATTTTCTAAGACTACTCTTGATTGAAGTCTGAAAGGAATGTCTCTAAAGATTGTATATCCACCCTCATGGAAGGACTTTAATGTTTATATAAATGTTACAAATCATCATTTTCCATATAATACATTAAGTGTAGACAACATGTTTTGTGTCTCTAATGTTTAGGTATGGGTTAAGAAAGAAAGCAACAAGTTTATACTGAAACTGAAAAAAATTATTACTTTGATATATCACCAGTATTAAAATTTGGATCATGATATTAACCAGAATGGTTGATCTTTCAAGATCTACTGTTGAATGTCACAATATTCTGTAGTTCTGAGCTAAAGGTTGAAGATGAAATACTGTTTGAATTCATTGCATTATACGGAGCATAAAGTATGGCTAAAAATTATGTTTATCAGATCAATTTCAAATTTCAATGAGAAATTGTGGCATCTATGTGGCTAGCTGCTCAAAATGCCATGATTCAATGAAGAACAAGTAGAAACCCTTATAAAAATTAAGACAACACGATATCGGGAAATGAGTGAATAAGAGTAGTCTGGCAAAAAGTGAGGTGCTGAACAGTAAATTGTGGCAGTGTTCCACCAGGAGATAAAGACCCTCAAAATAGCAGCAATTTCCATCCTCGCATAAATGCAAAAAAAAAAAAAAAAAAAAAAAAAAAAAAAAAAATCCCAATGCGCTTGTTTACTGTAGCAATGAATAGTAGTGAGCCTATATATTTTTGGCCTTCTGTCTTATAATGTCTGTAATTCCACCATTTTCCTGACATTTTTTTTGGAAAGCACTTGTTTGTGTTGCTTTCCATGTTTGTGTTGATTGTCCATGGTGTTCTCATGTTTCTCATTGTCCAAGTATTAAAGCCTTCCAAAAAACAACACTTATCCTGGGTTGATAGAAGATAATAGCTAGCCTTCGTTTATCTAAAAATATTCTGAGTTTGTATGTTGCTTCACAATTTAATAGAGTTCCTTATATGATAACAGTGAAATATGTTAATCGTCAAATGACTTTAATCTTGAAGATAAGTTTCAAGGTATACAGTCCCCATGGTCATTGAAGTCAGATTATACTTTTGAATAGAACTCCCAGTTTTATTAATTATAAAGAGGCCCTTTAATAAAAATGTAAGATTCAGGAAAAATTTCAATGTAATGTCACAAAAATAGTTATTTAGGGATTGTTTTATTAATTATAAAGAGGCCCTTTAATAAAAATGTAAGATTCAGGAAAAATTTCAATGTAATGTCACAAAAATAGTTATTTAGGGAATACCACTGATTAGTTGTGAACAATGTTGCAGAAGGCGCTAGGCGCTAGTCGGGTACCCCGGGGGCGCTTAGCGCCTAGGCGGTCGAGTAATTCGAGTAATATCGTTTCTGCTTTTTCCACTCAGGGCTATGAGTTGTTAGACTATTATAATCCCACAAACTAGTCAACTACATATGTTAGATGGTTAGTTGAATACATGGTTGAGGAATATAGAAAAGGAGCAATCGAGCAGGTAAAAAATACCATTTGGCCAAGTTGGGCGCTGACTCAGCCTAGTTGGGTGCCAACTAGGTGGAGTTAGGCGCCCAACTCGGCGCCTAGTCAGTTGGTTAGTCGGCCAGCCAACTAAAACCCGCTTAGGGCTGAAATCGCCTCGGGCTGAAACACTGGTTGTTAATAGGCTAGCTAATGCAAGAAATCACATGAGTTTCTCAGGAAAAGAAACCGAACCACTGCTGAAGGATATCATTTTTACTGCAGTGGAGGTGGTTGCTAGCTTCTGATGATTTGTTTTATTAGTTATTTTAGAACTAAACTTCTTCTAGGTAAATTAGTACGTAGTATATGTTTCAATGCTAATATCTGTACCTTTATTGCTAATTTTTATATTCGTATCTCACTTTCACAGCCCACTGTAATGATACTGCTTTTTTGATGTTTCAGAGGAAACTAATACTGAAATACACCCACAAATATAGACTGGGACTATGGAGGCCTAGAGCGGAGCCTGTGAAATCCTAACAACGCTTTCGATAACTGGCCACCCCACACATAAGTTTATTTGACGAATGCGCTTTGTAATATTTACTGCTCTGAGCTCGAGTAAGAGCTTAAGTTATTCAGGGAGTCTAGACCTTTTGTTTAGTAAATCTGGATAAGGAAAGCATGCACTATTGGACATCATGCTTTGGCTTTACTTGTGATTCTGGTTTTTCATGAATTGTCACTTTTGGTCTAAACCACAGAAACAGTTTACTTCTTCATCTTGGCCCTTCATTTGCATCAACAGAAGATGAGCTGTGAATATGTTAATTGCCTTGATGAAATTAAAAGAATTCTAGATTTGAATTTGATCATTGGAAAAGCAAAAATTAGTTAATGAGCAAATACCAATTTTGGTCATTGTTACTAAAATGACAGTTTTGGTCCACATGTTTAATTTCTACCAATTTTCATCCATGACTATTATTTTAGTACTAATTTTCATTTATTATGACTATTGTTTTAGTGCCAAAGTTTTTCACTCCAGTCATCCTCCGTTTAAGACATGCCGAAATATGAAATTATGAAGGGTATTTTTGTCATTTTCAAATTAAGATCTCAATTTGAATATGAATGAAGAGATTTAAGTTGTAAGATGGATTCCAATTCGCAATTCTCCTCTTCATCTTATCTTAATTTGAGGAGGAGAACTGCGAATCGATCTTAGGATTTAAATCCCTTTATTCACGCTCAAATTGGGATCTTAATTTGAAAAGGACAAAAATACTCTTTATAATTTTATATTTCGGCATGCATTAAACGAAAGGGTAATCGGCACGATTAATTTTGGCAGTAAAAACAATAGTCGTGGATGAAAATTGATAATAAACCAATAGTCATGGATGAAAATTGGTAAAAATTAAATATGTGGATCAAAATTGTCATTTTGCTAAATACTCGTGGCACCAAAATTAGTATTTGCTCATTAGTTAATGGTTTCAAACTGATTCCTATGCAGGCTGGCTAAAAGTCAGTCTACACTCACTCCAAATGGTTTAAAACCTACAAATTCTACAAAGTGACATTTGTACATGGAAGTAGTATTTGCTAATTCCTAAAATTTTCCATCCTTGTTCCTTCGAGAATCCTATCTCCAACAAGCTCGATGGAGGATTGTTCGTTAGGGCTTAGCTCACTGGTTCAATAGATGTATTTGGAGAGACGGAAGAGGCATCATCTATGAAAAGGCAGACACCTGAAAATTAAAAACCATACCTTTCTGCTCAATCCATAAGTTATGGTCCAATGCTTATGAGAATGGATATTCAGATGGGCAAAGTAACTGAAAAACATATCCCTGCTGTTAGTGCAGGCCATTCTTACTTCAATCAACAATTTATAACTGTGTCTGTTTGGAAAGCAGGAAAATAACTTCTAGAAAATGTTTTCTGAAAAATGACTCATTTTCCAGAAAACATTTTCCTTTCCAGTCTTTGGTTGCATTTTGGAAAACTTGGTGTGTTTAGTTTATTTTCTGAAAAATGAGTAGAATTGTATGTTTAAACATTTTGGCGGAAAATGACTTCATTTTCCCCAGTTAACAGAAAATGTTTTCCGTTGAATGGATTTTCCTATTGCATCCAAACACTGAAAACTCAGAAAACATTTTCCCGAAGTCATTTTTCGGATTTCTAAACAGACCCTAAAACAAAAATCATTGACTCAGTTATGACAAAAGGCAACACTAAACGATACTACTATCAATTGTCCATAAGAGTCAACAGGGTAAGATGCAACTTGAAGTTAAACCAGGTAGTCACATAGCTAGGCTAGATTGGGGGTACAAAATATACATAGTACTAATATCGGTAAGCAAATGTGTGTGAGTTATACTAGAGAGATACTAAAAGGTTCAAGGTCTTGAGGGCATTTGTACCGTGAAATATAATTATGAAGAAGAACAGAATCGTGATCCCCATTGCTACGATGTTAGTTTTTGATGACGGCGTCCTGTCCTTCATTTTCTTCAACGACCTAAGGCGCTCCATCCTTTTATGCTTCCGTACTGTCATCTCCGAGATTTCCTTAACGAGTTTAATGTCAGCGGGATCCAACGAGGGACCTTTGGGAGGTCTAGGCGGCTTTGAAGGCGGCTTTGGCTTCTTTAACTTCTCTTTACTTGATTTCTTCCCTCGGGGGGTTCCCTTATTGTCCTTCAATTTAGTCGAGTGAATCTCGGTTATTTCTGCACTATTCTTAACCGAAATGTCATCTGCACTCGTAGCCTTCTCATTCGAATGCAAACCGTCTTGATGTGAAACTATCGGCTCTCCCAACAACCCTCCACTCCAAGATCTGTGCAACAATCTCACCTCTTGAATTTCACTTTCATTATTCTCTCGAACCAATCCCCCACTCTCCAAATCAACGTCTCTATCGCCTCTTCTAGAATCCATATCGTCTCATCTCAAACAGCCCTTGGGTAATGTTACTACGCAACTCAAGCACGCCATTTGAAGTAACGAAACATCACACGCCCTGCGCTCCTCGCGCTACGATATCTCACTATCTGCAACATAGTTACCAAAACTTCAAATTTCAAACTCGGGATTAAAAACACACTATCTATTCACTTCAAACTAAAGAAACAAGAATGTTTCTTCCTGTGTTCCTAGTTTTACTTTGGCACTAAACCCAAACTTGTATACAATGGCTAATGGCTACTTTAATTTATGCTAATAAACAAAGTTATCATAAGCAGCAACCACAAAAACCCTAAACTTTTTGCCTTCTCCACTATCTTGAAGGTTCATATAGCATTCATTATATGCATTAACATCTGAAATAACAACACGAATTTAGAAACTTTTTTACTTTTTTTTAATCAAAAGGGATCTAGGGATAAAGAAATGGCCACGCTATTAACATGAGAAGCATCAAAATCATAATAATAAAACGAAAATGATTTTTTAAAAATTAAAAATCCAAGAAATTGCAAATGAAATGTGGGATACTTGAATTCTTTTAGAATTTTCTCATCAGAGTTACAAAATAACAGATTAACGGCAAAAGCATGCGGTGGAAAGTTTAAGGAAAATATTCAAATAAAACAGGAAAAAGATGAACAAGCTCAAATGTTATGTGGGCAATACTAAGAAAATGAAACAAAAGAGAGAATGGGTATCAAATATCGGAGATTTTAACACAATCAGATGTATCAAATGCAGAAATTACATGCCAAAGCTCTCATATTTAAATGGGAAAAATCTCTTGAAAAAAATAAAAATAGAAAAAAGGGAAGAAAAGAAGATTTCTTGACATACATGGTTGTTGGTGACGAGACGGAGAGATCATCGGCATTAGGCAGCAAAAATTAAAGAAATTTTGATATGGGTTTCCGTTTCATTCGATTTGAATGCAGAGCTGCAAAGGTCGTAGGGAGTGTTGGTTTGGTAAAATGATGTTCGAATTTGAATCCTCAATCCAGGCCAGCAATTCTGGGCTTACTGAATTTGGAATATTTTAAAGTATATCCTCCCTAGTCTTTACTTATTTATTTTTCCATATATAACTAAAGGCCCAAGAGCCCACATATAACATATTCAATAGTTATTGCACAATCATTATTGTATGGACATGGTCCACACAAGTTGTGTGGACCATATTTTGTATACTGTAAAATAATGTATATTCAATACAAAAATTATGTACATTCAGTACAAAAATAATGTACATTGTATTAAGGTGATATACATTATTTGTGTACTGAGTGTACATTATATTGTATAATGTACATTCAGTACAAAAACAATGCACTTTTAGTTATGGTCCACATAACATTGTGTGGACCATGGTCCATGCAATAATTTGCCGTTATTGCATGAACCGTGGTTCACACAGCTGTGTGGACCACAACCCAAAAACGATGTCGTTTTGTTTAATTTTACTTTTTTGTGCGCCTAGCTGCAACATATATTTTTATAATCATAATATACATTATTCTAAACATAATGTACATTATTCTAAAGCATAATGTACATTATTTTAAAACATAATGTACGTTATGTTACCCCAGATGTTTCATTATTCTAAACACGTAATGTACATTATTTTAACACATAACGTACATTATTTTAACACGTAATATACATCATTCTAACACATAATGTACATTATTTTTAGAGAAAAGGGTCAAATAAGCCCCTAAACTTTACCTCAAAAGTTAATTAGGTCCCTAAACTTTTAAAAAGTACAATTAAACCCTCAAACATGTCAAATTAGGTCAATGAAGCCCAAAAACCCAGTAAATGACATGTTATTACAGGCCATTTCAATTCCGGCGATCGGCAAAGGCAAAGCTGTCGCCGGTCACCTTCTATTGGTCAAAGCGACCAGAAAGGTCGCCTTCTTAGGCGCTCTAGTCGCCTTCTACAATAGAAGATTAGAAGGTGACCAGCGACGACTTTTTTGCCGTTGTTGGAATTTGTCGTCGGTCGCGGGAATTGAAATGAGCTGTAATAACGAGTCATTTATCAATTTTTGGACTTCATTGAACCCAATTTGACATGTTTGAGTTTTTAATTGCGTTTTTTTTTTTTTTTTTTTTTTTTTTTTTTTTTTTTTTTTAAAGTTTAGGGGCCTAATTGACTTTTGGGGTAATGTTTAGGAGCAAATTATTGAATGGACCATGATCCATACAACTTGTGTGGACCATGAATATAGGGTACATTTTTAATATACTAAAGGTACATTATTTGTGTACTGAAGGTACATTATTTGATAGTATATATAAAATAATGTACTTTTGGTACTAAAATAATGTACCTTCAAATAATGTACTTTTAGTATACAAATGATGTATCTTTAGTATATTAAAAATGTACTTTTTATTTATGGTCCACACAATTGTGTGGACCATGGTTCATGCAATAATGATTGATGTTTAGGGGCTTATTTGACAATTTTCTCTTGTTTTTACTCATAATATTCACCACGGTCCATACAATAACTATTGTAGTAATATATTTATTTGGGAACAACTAACACTTCTGAGTAGGGGGTGCATCGGTCGGGTCGGTTCGGTTCGGTTGGGCGGATGGGCAACCCTTTCGGATTTCGGATATTATTATGTAAATCCTATTTCGTTTTTTAATTTAAGAAATCTATTCGGTTTTACTAAATATCGATTTGGGTCGGTTCGATCGGATATCCGAATTAATTTCGGATTGTAGGATAATAATGAAATTAAAGAAATAACTACAAAATTGAACAAAACACTTTAAATATAAAAAGTTAATATCACATACATGCAATTACAGATTACTCTAACTGCAATTACATGCAAAAAAACTACTGAATATGCAATTAAGTCAATAAATTATCCTTGCAAATTGCAATTACATGCCAAAAAAGTACTGAATTTTCCAATGTAGTTCCTACTTCCTAGTCTTTCTAGAGTTCCTATTGTTCTTCATCTTCCTGTAAACACTCAAAACTTAAGCAAAGTTAGCAATAAGCCAAATAGCAAAAATAAGTTATTGAGCAACAGAATATCATTAGACAATTATAAACTTGGCTCAGTAAGCTTTTTATCCATATCAAAGTTAGGATTAAGGGGAAATTGCTACAGCATCCCCATGAGGATGGAGCAACATACCAGCTTAATCCCTTATTTTTCAGATCATTGGTGGAAGCTTTCATCATGGCCATAATATAATAAAAGTATAAAACATAATAAAATAGTAAAATGTGCCAACTTACCAACAATGTAACAACTTACAATGGTAGCAACTAATTAAATTAGTTACCAAGCCAGCTGCAAGCAAGCCTCATGAATAACAGGCAAACAGCATAAATGCATTACATAATACATTCAAACAGAAACAACAGTATAAAGTATAAAGTACAAAGCATAGCATTACAGGAATTGTAGCAAGTGTAGAACCACCACTCCTTCCAGTTCCACTGCCACCATCAGTACCAATTTCTGCAACAACAAAAAATTAGAATAGAATGTAAAAATTATAAGGAAAATAGGAAATAACAAATTGTAAAAAAAAATTAGAATAGAATGTGTTACCTTGTTCAAATCTCTCCAATTCCTCTAGATTTTCCTCAATTGATAATGGGGTATTTGGTAGCCTAAGCCAATCTTGAGTACAGACCAAAGCTTCCACAATTTTAGGAGTTAATAAACTCCTAAAAGGATCCAAAACCCTCCTAGATGTACTGAAGGCAGATTCTGAGGCAACAGTAGATATTGGTATAGCTAAAACATCCCTAGCTATCTTAGAAAGGATAGGAAACCTTTCAGCATTCAACTTCCACCATCTAAGTATGTCAAAAGAAGTTTCCTCTTCAACTATTGCCTCAGCAAGGTAAATTTCTAACTCTGTTTTTTTCATTCCCCCACTCTCCATTCTTTGTTTCTTAATCTGTGACTTTAACAAATGTTGGGGCCTCCCAACTGTAGACTGTGAAAAATCAGTAGGAGTACTGACAGAACCAGTAGTGGAAGAAGCAGGAGTAGAGGCAGAAGTAGAGGCAGCATAATCATTAAACAACTCTTTCAAGGCTGCAATCACTTTCTCATAGCAGGGTTTACCTTTTACCTCACCATACATGTGATTCATCTGTGCTGCCATGTACTCTAACTTGTCTCTTGGGTCTAGAATGTTTGCAAAGAATATCATCAAGTTCATTTTATCTATATCCCCACAATATTTCTCAAATTTAGCCTTCATATTTTCTCCCATCAGTTTCACAGACCCTCTAGCTTCCACCATGCCATTCAAGAGGCAGTATAAATCAGAAATTTCAGAAAAGAAAGTGTTAGAAGTGACATATAAAGAACCAGAAATTCTTATTGTCATATCATAAAAACATTTCAAGATCTCCACCAAACTCTTCACAGACTCCCAATCAAGAAAATTAGGAACAACATAAGACAGATCTGATTTGTAGGAACTATCACTTTCTTCAAGTGACTCAAACACTTTCTCATATGTAATTGCAGATTGTAACATAAGATATGTAGAGTTCCATCTGGTTGGAACATCTAGACACAAAGAAGATTTCTATTCAATCCCATTCCACTCAGCCAAGTCCCTAAATTTCTTAAGTCTAGCAGGTGAACTCCTCACATATCTTACAACCTCCCTTACCCTCTTCACAGAAGCATCACATTGTTTCAGGCCATCTTGGACAACAAGGTTCAGAATATGGGCAATACATCTCATGTGAATATACTTGCCCTTCACAGTAGATGTTCCCCAAGACATCAATTTCTTTTTTAAAAAACCTATAGCAGTGTCATTAGATGAAGCACTGTCTACAGTTATACTATACAAATTCCTAATCCCCCAATCAAGCAAACAGGTTTCAAGGACTTTTGCTACAGACTCACCCTTATGTGATGTAATAGGGACAAATGAGATAATCTTCTTGTTAAGCTTCCACTCTTCATCTATAAAATGGGCAGTCACTACCATGTAGTTAATTCTCTGAATAGAAGTCCAAGTGTCAGTTGTAATACTGACTCTTTGAGTGTTCCCCCTAAAAACACATTTCAACTTCAATCTTTCATCTTCATAAATCAGATTGATGTCCCTACTAATTGTCCATCTAGATGGAATCTTAAACCTAGGACAAGCCACCAGAATGAACTTCCTAAACCCTGGACCCTCCACAAATCTAAAAGGCAATTCATCAATTATAATCATTTCAACCAAGGCCCTCCTAATAGCTTCCTGGTTAAAGACCCAAGTTCCTAACTCACCAACAGTAGCAGGAGATGCATCAGAATTTGTAATAGCTTGAAAGGTTAACAGTGATTGTCTAGTGTTTTTAGAGTGGGGGTTTTTCAGACAGCTAACCATGTTGTTTCTCAAGGAGGTAGTACCATGCTTTTTAGATTGACATTGATAAATTTTGGCACAATATATACACTTGCCTTTGATAGTAACACCATTACTATCCTTAATTTTTTCATAATGATCCCACACTTGTGATCTGGACTCAACAATCTTCCTCTTCTTCTCAAGAACTGCAGTAGTAGGTTGCACATTCTGTTGATTATTTGTGTCAACAGTTTGGGCTTCCACCACTGTAGACCCATCAATTGAAGATTTAGAAGATTGACTTCCAGACTCTATGATATTTTCCATCTAAGTAAATGGAATACTATCAGTATAGTGGTCACTACTCAGTGGGAAACATATTGAACAAAATCAGATATTCAGATAGTCACAGAGAACTGAGAGAACTAGAGAAATCCAGAATCAGAAGACATGCACTTCTTAACTTCATCATTTTTCTAAATTTCATAATTCGGACTTTAAGGAATTCACTATTAAGGGTCATACATCCATAAACTTATAACTTATAAGTTATAATCTATACATGCATACAGGGATACAATCACAGTATCACATTAATCACACAAAGTGACAAAAAAATCCAGAAATCAGGAACCTGAAAGCCTGAAGTGTACATTCATCATTTTTCTGGATTTTACAGTTGGTAGTTACAATTGGGGCTTCCACCATTTTCACCAACACAGACAACATCCAACAGCCAATAGGGGTTAGGGACTTAGGGGCTTCCACAAACAATACAGACAAATCATACAATCACAACTAAGTGATTCTAAAAAGTTTCAACAGATTGACATTGTCACAGTCCACATAATCATAGAAACCCTAATCAAAGGATCAAAAATTCACAAATAAGGGACAAGTGACATGTAATCCGGAACTTCTCAACAGATTCACATTGTCACAGTCCGCATAATCATAGAAACCCTAATCAAAGGATCGAAAATTCACAAATAAGGGACAAGTGACATGCCATCCGGAACTTCTCAACAGATTCACATTGTCACAGTCCACATAATCATAGATTCATAGAAACCCTAATCAAAAGATCAAAAATTCACAAATAAGGGACAAGTGACATGCAATTCGGAACTTCTCAACAGATTCACATTGTCACAGTCATCAGAATCATACAATCACAACTAACAACAAAGTATCACAATATATAAGAGTATAATCTAAGTATGTCTAAGATTAGGTTTTAGAGATTACTTCGTTTCTCCAAATCAAACCCCCGAGAACAAAGGGCTTCAAATCCGTGAGACCGTGACAGCACTCTACAATCCACCGCACCGGCCACCGGTCGTCCAGAATAGGGCTTCCACCGGAGACTCACACTCTCAGTGTCTAGAAGAAACTCAGAGAGAACGAGAGAACTCAGAGTCTCACACTCTCACAGAATCAGAGAACTGGAGAAGAAAGAAGTAAGAACTAACTAGGGTTTCAGATTTCAGAGAAGAAAGACGAGAATCACGAGAGAACGAGGAAGCTGTGCAAATGAGTGGAATGACTAGGGTTTCGTTCGAATGCAACATATATACACCGCTTACACGACATCGTATACCTTAGGGTATACGAACTCTTACCCTAATTCGGGTTGTCGGACGGGTTCGGGGGGGTTTTTATAACCCCCAACCCGCCTCCTTCTAACCGGCTTTGTTTCGTGTTCTCGGTTCGGGTATTGTTGTTAGGGTGTATAATCGGGTTCGGGCCGGTTGGGTTTTTCGGGTGGGTCGGTTTTGGCACAGCCCTACTTTTGAGGACAATTATACAATGGACTAGGGTCCACCTTGTAAGGTGGACCCGAATCCAAAATACACAATTTATATACTGAATGTTCATAATTTATATACTGAATGATCACAATTATATACACAAGTTACATACTTAATGTTCACAATTTACACACTGAGTGTTCACAATTTAATACTAAATATTCACAATTTACCTTTTACATTTAGTATGCTAATTGTGAACATTCAATATGTAAATTGTGCAATTTACCTTTTACAAAATTATTATGAACATTCAGTACGTAAATTGTGTAACTTGGATCTGGGCCCACATTGTAAGGTAGACTCGAGTCCACAAAATAATTTGCCCACTTTTGATACTTAACTCGTTTGCCAATTACCTTCTAAATAATCATAAGTATTTTTTTTTTTTTTAAAAAAAAGAGATAAACTCTTCCAACAATCATTACAAAGTGGACCACTAATATAGATTTCATTTAAAAAAACCAACTGCTAATGTATTAATTCTAAATTTAATGAATTACAATTTTACTCCAAATTAATTAGGGTAAGATCTTATGTAAAAAATTAGGGTAAGATCAATACTATTTTTGGGTGTAAACAATGAGTTCGGAAACGCTCTCGACACCGTGCTCGGATGAAGATCTCGATCTTCTTGAGCGTAGCACCAAGAAATCGAAACGTGAGGTAGCCCCAAACAACGACACGCTGGTGATAATAAGCCCCAATGCAAATCCGATGGAGGAGGTGGAGATGGTTCAGGAAACGCCGTTGGAAGATCTGCCTGGCGATGGTGCACAGGCCTCGGCTGATAAGAGTGCAGCGAGGGAGACACAGGTAGTGCCGGCAGGATCGGAGCCACAACAAGCGCAGCCGGTGGTCAGACGTACATACGCGGAAAGCCTTGCCGGATGGATCGAACCTGGACAGTGCTCGCATGTGCCCAGCCCGGATCAGGAGCGAGTGCATGCGGAGTTGATCGCGGAGGAAAACGATGATCCCCTCTGCCCAACGATCAGGCTTACCAAGGAGGAATTGGAGATGATCAGGGCGCCGTGGAGAAAATCACTCATCATCAAGGTGATGGGGCGGAAAGTTGGCTACGCGTACATGCTGAGGCGTCTCATGGCGATGTGGAAGCCGAAAGGTGGCATGGACCTGATTGCACTGGAGAATGATTATTACTTGGTACGATTTGGATCTTTCGAAGATTTGGAATTTGCAATGTATGAAGGCCCGTGGAAGATCCTTGACCACTACCTCATCGTCAAGCCTTGGGAGCCAGATTTCGACCCGATGAACGATACAACAAAAAAAGTTCTTGTGTGGGCGCGGATCCCCTGTATCCCAATGGAGTACTACGACATTATTTTTCTCCGGAAGCTTGGCAACAGGATTGGCCGCACAGTTCGAGTTGATAGGGCAACCAGCTTGGGGGTCCCGAGGGATGTTTGCGCGCCTATGTATTGAGATAGACATGCGAAAGCCAATCATTTCAAAATTCAACTACGAAGGTAAGATCAGGTACGTTGCTTATGAGGGTATTCATTTAGTTTATTTTTCGTGTGGTGTGTATGGACATGCAAAGGAGTCATGCCCGAAGCTGTGCAAGGAACGAGATGGCCAGAAAGATGGAGACGCGGAGGAAGTGACGGATCAAGCGGAGTTTTTGAATCCAGCCTTTGCGCGCACTTCTGCGCCCATTGCGAAGGAAACATCGAATCCCACCATCCCCTTTGGCGCCTGGATGCTCACACCACAGCGGCGAGGTCGCCCGGCGGCGGCGAGCTCCGACAAGATCTCCAGAAAACCGGCGAACCGAGGAGAGACGACGAGAGGTAGAGGCGGATTGATGACAAGGTCTTCTAGATTTGCACCGCTGCGGACTGAAGATGAAGAAGAGGACTTGGATGCGACATCGCCTGTGCCTCCGGAGAACCACGTCGAAGCTGCGAGGGAAACAGAGTTTGAGACAGGCAGTGACGCCAACGCCAACCCACCACCTACCAAGAGCCAATTGAATGCAAGCAGAGGGGATAGCCGCCGTAGACCAAATGTGATTGCGCAGGAAAAGCAGATTTTGAATACACCGGCGCCACCGCAGGGACGAAATACAAATGAGAATGTCGCCGTCTCGGGACCGCGACGACGAACCGAAGGGACACCCAGGCGGGCAGCAGAAGAGGAAGAGCATGTTGTGGTTAGAGGGGAATAAGGAGGCCTAGTGATTCAGACGGCCCGCGTATGCATGGGCAGTGCTGGGGACCACATTCCGTCTCTGGTATGGCAATCGTCAAAAGAGCACCATAGCGACCCTCCGGAGCTCCTAGACGATGAAGGGGACGTGGTAATGGATCTCAGCGGGGTCCAGGCGTTATGCGGGAGTGGAGGTAACGGGGGAACTTCTTGAGTAACCCCGGTTTACGAGTTTTTTTTTTCGTTTATTTATGTTTGTTTTGTGTCTCGTGTTTCTCCTGTTTTTAATTAAATTTTTTTATGGATTGCATTTTTTGGAACTGCCAGGGTGTGGGAGGAAATGCATTCCTTCGTGCACTTAAAAATCTTCTTAATATTTATAGGCCTAGCATCCTAAGCGTTTTCGAGCCAAAGGTGTCCGGAGCTCAAGCGAATGAGATTTGTAAAAAGTTGGGCTTTTCAGATTGGATCAGGGTGGAAGCTGTGGGCTTTAGCGGTGGCATCTGGGTATTCTGGAGGGACCCGGTAAGGCTAAAAATTTTATACACTCACCCCCAGTTTATTCTTATGCAGGTGGAAGAAAATAATCAGCCGCCTTGGCTCATAGCCTCGATGTACGGCAGTCCTACCCACCATCTGCGCCGGAGACTGCGGAAGGATCTTCGGCATTCGGAACGCAACATCACGGGATCTTGGACCGCGTCCGGGGATTTTAACGCTGTTACTAGCAGGGACGAGACAAGCAACTACATTTCATTCTCGGCCCATCGGAGCTCGGATTTTATAAGCTGGATCCAGGAGGAGGGGCTCATTGATTTGGGATTTTCGGGCCCACATCTCACTTGGATGAAAAATGGTGGCGATTGCGCCCCTAAAGGTGCCCGACTGGATCGGGCTCTGTGCAACACGGATTGGAGGTTGCGCTTCCCAGGTGCGTGTGTTACACACCTAGCCCGTTTCGCATCTGACCATGCACCTCTCTTATTACAGGTTCAGGGTGGAAAACATCAACCAAAGGTGGCGCCCTTCGTTTTTCAAGCAGCTTGGTTGACCCATGCAGATGCTCGAGGGGTTGTTGAGCGTATCTCAGACCAAAGCATTATGGACAATACACGTAACTTGGCGGCTGGTCTGTCGGCGTGGAACAAATCTACCTTCGGAAACATATTCAAGCGCAAGCGGATCTTTCTGTCTCGGATTAATGGCATTCAGAAGGTGTTGGCGAGAACACACCACCGCGGCCTTGAGAAGCTGGAGCACAAGCTTAGAGAGGAGTTAGAAGCCACTTTGCACCAGGAGGAACTCCTTTGGTACCAGAAGTCCCGGGAGGAATGGATTTGCTCGGGGGATAGGAATACGTCTTTTTACCATGCAGCAGCTGCCATCCGCAAGTCGCGCACCTCCGTCCGGAGTTTGGTTGACGACACCGGAGTATGGATTACGGAGGAAACAGGGCTCAAGGACCACATCCGGAATTTCTACGTGCACTTATTCTCCGAGGAGGGCACAGGGACCCCACAAATTTCCCGGCTTTACGAGACCTCGACTGGAGGTGTTTCAATAGACAGGTAACCAAAGATGAGGTCTACAATGCACTCAAAGACATGAAGCCTTTCAAGGCTCCGGGGTTGGATGGCTTCCAAGCGGGCTTTTACCAGCACATGTGGGATGTCACCGGGGAAGACATCTATCAGCTAGTACACAAGGCCTTCACGACAGGTATTCTCCCGGATGGTTTGAACGACACTCTTATTGCCCTGATCCCCAAGGTTCAGGTCCCGGAGAATATAAAGCAGTTCAGGCCGATCAGCGTTTGTAACGTGAGCTACAAAATCATCACCAAGACCATTACCAACAGGCTTAAATGCATCCTACCCAAGGTTATTGGGCCGTTTCAGAGTTCTTTTGTTCCAGGCCGACAGATAACGGATAATGTCCTCATCTTCCAGGAGGTCATGCACACCATGCGCATAAAACGAGGGGCTAAGGGATACATGGCAATCAAGCTTGATCTAGAGAAGGCATATGACCGGTTTTCTTGGAATTTCATTCAAAACACTCTCGATTGTGCTGGCTTTACTGGATCCCTAAGGAATCTCATTATGGCATGTATACGCACGCCAAGGCTTTCTATCATTTGGAACGATGATCGACTTGAGCCAATCCGCCCGGAACGTGGTATCAGGCAAGGCGATGCAATGTCCCCGGTGATCTTTGTGTTGTGTATGGATCGGTTGAGCCAGCTCATAGTCGCAGAAGTGGATAGGAAAAAATGGAAGGGTATCAAACTTGCTACTAATGGACCTATTCTAACCCATCTCTGTTTTGCAGATGACATGGTTCTTTTCACGGAGGCTACAATCGAGCAGGTGGAGATAGTCAAGGACTGCTTGGACCGTTTTTTCCAGGCCTCGGGACAGAAAATTAGCTTCAACAAATCACAAGTGCTCTTTTCAAAAAACACGCAACCAGGTCTCGCGGCAGGCATTACAGGGCGGCTAGGCATTGCAAGCACCAACGACCTGGGAAAGTATCTGGGAGTTCCGGCTATACACGGGCGTGTCACCTGTGCAACTCACTCGGATTTGCTCACAAGGATCTCTAACCGTCTTGAGGGGTGGAAAGCGAAGACGCTCTCTTTGGCGGGACGGGTTGTTCTTGCAAGGTCTGTGCTAAACGCGATACCCGCCTATACCATGCAAACAACTTCGCTTCCTAAAAGCATTTGCCTAGAGATCGAAAAGAGAACGAGAAGTTTTATCTGGGGACGTAATGGTACACAAAACAGAATGAGCCTGGTGAACTGGGATCTTGCCACTACGGCACGAGAAGCGTGAGGTCTGGGTCTCAAGCGTTTAAACGAGATGAACACGGCTTACATGGCGAAACTGGGTTGGCGGCTAATAGCGGAGAAAGACAGTCTTTGGGCGCAAACTTTAAGCACCAAATACAGACAACCTAGGGACGGGTTTGCTGCTAGGCAAACACGGAGAAGTACATCGAATGCGTGGCGAGGGATATCGGCAGCGTGGCCACACATGGAGCAAGGATTAATGAGCTCGGTACGGGATGGCAGGAACACACAGTTTTGGATGGATAAGTGGCTAACAACTGAACCGCTGTACGCACAACTCGATGTACCATTATCTCTTCCTGCCCTCTATGCCCCTGTCAGAGACTACTGGGATGAAACGCGGGGTTGGAAGTGGGAATATCTAGAACACGTCTTGACGGCAGAAACCAAAGATAAACTTGCAGGCTACGTTCTCACGGAGGATCTTGTGCCTGACAAGGTGGGATGGAGTTTTGAACTCAACGGGAAATTCTCTATAAGATCCATGTACGAACATCTTGTGGAATCCCCTGATGATGCCATAGACAAAGATTGGCGCAACCTCTGGCGAATCCGTGTACCAGCTATGATATGCATGTTCATCTGGTTGCTGCGGCACGAAAAGATCCTTACTAATGCTGAGCGAACCAGGCGACATCTCGAACGTGCCCGGCAGCGAGAAGTATTTGGGAACCGGTTATGCCCAGGAGGATAGCGGCCACCCTGAACACGATGACTTGGAAGCCTTGGCTAGAGACGAATCTGAAGGGTGAGATAAGTCAGGGCTTTGGGGAGGACTGGCCTGAGAAGTTTTGCATCAGGTTGTGGTGGCTTTGGCGCTGGAGAAATGATGGCATTTTCAACGGCCGGAGAATCCCGGTGAAAGACAAGTTAGATTGGCTTGTCCACTACGACTCAGAGGTCAAAGCTGCGTTTTCCAAGCGCATCCATCCGGAGAAAGGAACAAGGCGGAACCAAGACACTCAGGTGGGGTGGAAAAAACCTGATAGCGGCTGGCTCAAACTCAACATCGATGGAAGCTGCAAGGGCAGCGGAGTGGCAGGCTGCGGTGGTCTCATCAGAGATGAACATGGGGATTGGCGTGGAGGGTTCACTGTCAACATAGGACGTTGCCAAGCTTTGGAAGCGGAAGCATGGGGACTTTACCACGGTCTGCGCATGGCGAACACAAATGGGGTTTCCAAACTCATAGTTGAGTGTGACTCTAAGCGCCTCCTGGAAAATTTCCGCGGGACGAAGAGCGAGGCAGATTTTGATAACAACATTGTAAGGAGGTGTGCAGGAGATCGTAAGGTTTAGTGAAATTCATTTCAACCACGTTTTCCGAGAAGGGAACAAGGCAGCAGATTGGCTGGCTACGGCGGCGCTCGCCCATCAGATTGGTTACCGTGCGGTCCACGATGCGCCTCCGGAGCTGAGTGACATTATTGGTCACGACAAGCTGGTAGCTTTGTTTCCCAGGTGTCTTTGATTTTTGGGTATCCCCCTCCGTTCTGATGTAAAAAAAAAAAAAAATAAAAAAAATTAGGGTAAGATCAGAATCATTGTTTGTCAAGATGATGAGTTAGAATAAGTTCTTATTTTTTACAATGGAGTGTTCACACACCCAATTGGTTCTTCGTTTGTTTTCTAAAAGTATGTTATCATTTGAGTACTCATATATATATATATATATATATATATATATATATATATATATATATATATATAAATATAATTGCACTCAGTGAAGTGCCCAAGAGAGAATATGCGAACGAATCAGCGCGCGACACGTGTTCAGATCTAATGAATTAAAAAAAGTGACATTTTCGTAAATAATTGAACATCGAAGTGCAAGTAAAATGTATTACAATTATTTACGATGTAAGTAATTTTACTTGCACTTCGATATTCAATTATTTACGATAATGTCACCGCATTTTTTTTAATCTATTATATCTGGACACGTGTCGCGCGCTGATTCATTCGCATATTTCCTCCTGGACACTTATTTGCACCTGAGCGCATGCATATATATATATATATATATATATATATATATATATATATATATATATATATATATAGAATAGCACTCATATGTGGTCATGTCATTAGGTGTGGTAATGTGGTCGTATTTGTGTCGTTGAATCAGTTTAATCTAACGGCAGTGATAATTCAGAGGATTTTTGTGCGTTTTGGTAAGTTGGGGTGTTATAGTAATTACAGTGGCCATTTATAGCGAGCAGGTTCCAGAATACACCAATAGTGTTGACAACATACACAATAGTGTAATAAAACACACCACAGTGAAACACACCAATGGTGTATTCCCGTGTTATGGTAATTACAGTGGCCATTTATAGCGGCCGGGTTCCAGAATACCCCAACAGTGTTGACAACATGCACCAATAGTGTAATAAAACACACAACAATGTGATTTTTTCTATTCCGGTGTTTTATGACGAGTTTACCCTTGCAGTTCGCTGGGTAAGAGAATGTGCACTAAAATCCTGAAAAAATCTTGATTAATATAATTCATTGGATCTATCTAATCTAATGGCCTATAATTGACCATATGACCACACCTAACAACATGGCCACATGTGATCACTCCTATATATATATATATATATATATATATATATATATATATATATATATATATATATATATATATATATATATATATATATATATATATATATATATATATATATATATATATATAATGATATAAATATCTAAAATCTAAAAATCTTATAAGATCGAGTACAAATATTATACTATCATTTTTAACGGATAAAATTATCTTACACTATTAAACTTCGGCCAATATACATTAAATTACACCATAATTATATTTAATCATTTACCATATTTAAATTCGTACTTTAACAATTATTGATCATACTATAATTATTAACTAAAATATCAGCTATACTTTTTAGTATATAATACGAATTCTACAACTAAAAATTATAAAATATTATTTTTTTTTAAAAAATGATAATTATGATTTTAACATTAAATACTAATGTTGGACATTTATTTTTGCGCAGCGCGCGTAGATAAAATTAGTATTTACATAAGAGGAAATACCTGCTACTACGTCAATCGTTATGCTGTGGAACCGTGTCCACCTTGCAAGGTGGACACGGTTCTATGTTCATAATTACTAAACTATATATTCATAATTATAAAACTATATATTCATAATTTTTGAACTTCATATTCATAATTATTGAACTTTATATTCACAACTACAGAACTCTATGTTCATAATTATTGAACTATATGTTCATAATTATAAAGTTATATATTCATAATTTTTGAACTTTATATATTCACAATTATTGAATCTCTATATTCATAATTACAGAACTATATGTTCATAATTATGTTCACAACTCTATGTTCATAATTTTTGAACTATATATTCATAATTATGAACAGTTTTGAAAAGTGGACACGATTCCGCAATATAATTTGCCCTACTACGTTTGGTTACAAACAATCATTATTGTGTGGACCATGGTCTATACAAGTTGTATGGATCATATTTTGTATATTGTAAAATAATGTATATTTAGTACAAAAATAATGTACATTCAGTACAAAAATAATGTACATTATATTCAGGAGATGTACATTATTTTTGTACTGAGTGTACATTATATTATGTAATGTATATTCAGTATAAAAATAATGTACATTTAGTATATTGAAAATGTACTTTTTATTATGGTCTACGTAACATTGTGTGAACCATGGTCCATACAATAATTTACCGGTTACAAAATGCTAGACCCGTTTCATTCCTTCCGTGATTATCCTATAAAATTGCGTAATGACTATTAGCGTAATTATTTGTTATATACTAATTGTTGACCTTGTGGTATCAACGTGGAACGCTCATAATACAATGGCTAATTAAGATGTTACGAAATGACGCTGTTCTGGTTTCTTGATAAACTAGTATACATTACCATGACATCAAATAAGTTTAAAATACGCATTTCCAACCCTTATTATATCTTTTTAAATAAATTAATGTACTAAGGGATCTATTCACTTTGAACATAATTTTTACACTATCGTTATTAAGATTCGAACCTTAGTCTCGATTTTATTCCAAATACTACCTATTGAAGTATTAAGTTAAGCTCGTGCCGGCACACATCTGCATACTTAGCCAAATAGTTAGCTTACCCATCCATCTCATGCCCGTGTCCTTAAGAACGTTAGCCATTGATCCACTTAATTACTTCCTCCTACATGTCTTGCTTGTCACTCAACAATGTTCTTGTTGGAAATATATATTACGAAGAAAATTATGAAAACAAGCACAAAACCGAAAGAGTTACGTGGCCAAGTTCGAATCAAGTCACACTAACATTTTCCTCAAAACTTTATTTGACGTCATTCATGTGCTACGAGTGTTGTAGGTTAATTTTTCTACGATAAAACGAACTTTGACTTAAAGATCGATTAAGTACACGAACTAGATGAAGGAAGAACACAGAATTTTGGAGGAGGAAGGGAAGGGTTTTTCCCGAGAAAAAGTTTCAAATTGGGCAGGTTTTTGGTGTTGATTTGCATCCCCAATCCTGTGCGCGAGTGAGAACTTTTAAATTATATAATTCAAACTTTCATTAAAAGGGTATTGTATATATCTACTGCAAACTGAATTTCCTTTTCAATGTGGGACACATGCTTCTTCCATACCCTTTCACTTTCATTTTCCAACTCAAATGTGTTTACTTTAAGAATCGATTTTTCATTCACGTACTCATTATCCATTTTGAACGTACAATTATCCATTTCTCCGTCTCTCTTCAAATAACCCGAAGCTACTTAGACCCAACCCAAATAAAAAGTAAACTCCAATGATATTTGTAACACAAAATAATCACTTAAAATGTCATTTTATACTATCTTTTCAACCGTTGTTGTTGTCGCATTCAACTTGCACATGTCTACAACCTTTCTTCCATGCAAGCTCAAACCCTTTTAGGATGGCCCAAGCCTCGGCCTCTTCGGCAGAACACTTCCCAACGTTGATGGTATACCCAGAAATCCAAGTCCCCTACTCATCACGAATCAGTCCACCTCCATCGAATCTACTTTGCCTGTGTTAGAATTTATGCAAAAACTTCACGCAACCAGCATAAGTTCTAGTCCTTAAACCGACATTAATTGAATCATAGTCCTTACATTCAACAAATTAATTTTATTCATGACTTTAAATAATTAAATTGATCAGTTTTAGTCCAAACGTTAATCAAACTATTAAATATGCACGAGGATTTGGTCTTTTCCAAGCCTCCTTCCCAATTTTCTCGCACGAAAATTCTATGGCGGTATTAATGTATTATAGGACTTGCATGTTTTGCGTCATAGAAAAGTTATTAATTTTTTTTGTATTGCATATCCTGAATTTTAAGAATTTTAAGTCGTGTAATAACTTATTGAATGTCATAATAATCAAAACTAAATGTATTCTTCTTGGTTTAATTTCCAATCCCAAGAGTTCGGCCCTTATACTCTGGTCTGACAAAATATGTGGGAGGAGGTAAATCAGTGGCTCAGCAAACAGGGTCAAATGTCGGTTCTCATATGGGGTTTGTTCACTTCGTACATAGGGGGTGTTTGGTAAACAGCTGTTAGCTGATAGCTGATTGAGTTAATGAGTTCGATTAATTGATAGCATTAACTCATTGTAGAAAGATGTTTGGTAAATTAGTTGTTAGCTGATAGCTGATTACATGCAAAAAGACTTTTTCAAAAAACTTATCGAAAATATTACTTTGAGCAGCTTTTTGAATTTTAGCATTTTAGACCTATAAATTGTTACAGAAAGCTAATTAATCAAACAATTATATTGAATGTTTAACCAAATTAAATAACTAATAATGATTAAATAAGCTAAAATTGGCTGATAAGCTAACTATGTTACGAAACATGATCATAATCTCCGCACTGTAGAGTTTTGAACATTGGCCTCTATTTCTCCCAAATGCTATTTATTGAATCAATAAATTAAATTCGTATAAGCAAACTTTTTTTTTTCTTTCTTTTTGGTGTTAGTGTGAGCAAACTAATTAAACGTATTTTAACCGTAATTAAAATAAGCAAACTAATTAATTTAATTGTAATGGAGGAGAATTGACACGTAAATGGGCGCAACTCGAATAAAATATGGATGCTTACCGTATTAAGAAAAAAGTATACATTATCCATATAACTTTCTACTTTATACATCACATCATACCTTCTTCTCCAGACTTCGAATTACGAGTCAAGTTAATCTTTTGGAAGTCAACTTAATTATTAATCTTTGCGGAATATTTATGTTCAAAGTAACCATAATTTTTTTTTTAAAATATTTTTTAAAGAACGTTTATTGGGTCAAAAATCTTGTGGTCAGGCGACATGAAGTGATTCTCTTAAGTGGGAGGTCATGGGTTAAGCACTTCAGTGGAAGTGATACATGGTCAAAAATATTCCAAGAAGCGTATGCTCTGTGAGAACAAAATTAATTAATTTTAAAAATGACACTTTTAACCACTAAATTATTCTACTTTTAGAAATTTGATCTCTATAAATTAATTTAAACAAATTTAGTCCCGTAATTTTTCATAATGTATGCTGCACTTTTAGCTTTTAGTATTATATAATTGTTAAATTAAACTCCTTTAACATATATATATATATATATATATATATATATATATATATATATATATATGAGGATATTTTTATTTTTTAGAATCAATATCAAATGTTAAAAATGACGTTCACATTGAGAGAATAAAACTTTAACTATGGATATTGATTCTTAATGATAAAAATAAGTTAAAAAAAGAGAGTTTGCTAATAGAGTTTGATAATTATATAATACCATGAATTGAAAGTATAACATAATAGACAATTAAGGCTGGGACTAAATTTGCTTAAATCAATTAATATGGATCAAATTTCTAAAAGTAAAACAATTCAGTGGTAAATTAAAAAAAAAAGTTATTTTCCCTTAATTTAATTCATTAGTCATACATAAACACATAACAATAGAATTAATATCATTGATTTGAGAGTATTGCTAAAATATATGATAATTTAATTTTGAAAAAATTGTAATTTATGCTCCTCTATAATATGCCAATTATCAATGTCACCATTAAATTATTAGTGGTGTAAATGTTGCCCCTCAATTTTCAAAATGGTACATATAGTACCCTCCGCCCGTAGTGTAAATGTTGCCCCTCATTTTTCAAAATGGTACATATATTGCCCCTCTTGTATGGTACGAGAGGGGCAATATATGTACCGTTTTGAAAATTGAGAGACGACATTTACACTTCTAATAATTCAGGGGTGACATTGATAATTGGCATATTATAGAGGGACATACATTACAGTTTTCCCTTTAATTTTTGTAAAAAGGATTGATAACTAAGAACATCTACATCAGTTTGGTTTTTGCACAACACTAAAAAGCCAAGTAGGAGAGAGAGAGAGAATAAGAAAAGAGAGAGAGAGAGAGAAAAAAAAAGAAGCAATAACATGCCTATCGGTGCGTGCAACGGATGGGCGTTGGATGTGCACGAAACGTGCACAGCTATGACGACTTTCCTCTGGTTTTTCTCTCTTGGCGAGCTCGACAAATTTTTTTTTTTAAAAACTATAGATGAAGATGCCCTAAGCATCAATATATCATTATGAAAGATAGTACACGCAATCCCACCACTAGGTCACGCAATCCCACCACTAGGTACGGATCCAAATGAGGTAATGGTGCAGTTGCCTCTCCCCACCCACTTATATATAAGGAGAGGTTACTACATGTCATCTGAGCACAAAGTCACTAAGGATAGTTTATATATAAAAATTAATTTTAAACTAAATATTTAGGTAACTTAATTGGTTATTATTTAAAATTTGATATCGTATGTTCTCGGATCAAACCCAACCATCACTAGTAGTTTGATTCGCATATCATCCGATCCCCTTATCTGACACAACCGGAATGACTAATTTCAAACGTTTAAAACATAAAATGTAAAATCTTTGGACATATATATAATTATTACAACCAACTGCAATATATTTGTAGAGTTCATTACAATCAATCATCAAATAACATGCATGGCTCATGCATACAACACCATATTCCATATATATATGGATGATAAACATCACTTATTAGATCGGATATTTTGTTTATTTAAATTATTATTGGCATCGATCTTTATTTATATATATATAATTGAAAGATAGATATTGTTAGTAAGGGCGCTGGCCGATGAAGTTGCCGGGGGGATCATAGCTGCAGGAGACGAACCACCAGCCGTTGTTGCAGCGAACCCTTCCGCATCCAAGGCGGACGGAGTTGCGCCACACCACCTGAGTGTAGTGCCGGCACTCGCCGCCGACGCAGGAGTTGGAGTTGTAGTCGTAGTTGGCCTTCTCATCCACCCACATCTTCACCGCACCCGCGGCGTTGAGGTCGGGGAACGCCGCCGCCAAGTTCTCGCCGTACGGCCCGCCGGAGTGGACCATGTTGCAGTCTCCGGCCCTGGAGTTGGCGTAGTTCTGCGCGTAGGACGCCAAGTTGGCGTCCCAGGTCATGTGGGGAACCCCGACTTGGTCCCGGGCGGCGTTGTGAGGGTTTAGGTAGTCTTGCGGGGTATTCTGGGCGTCGGAGACATGAAACATGGCGATCGCCATGAAGGAGAGGAGAGCTACTACTGGGAATTTAGACAGCCTCATTTTGGTTTTGGCTAGAAAGAAGACTAGACTAGGTTTAGTGTTGTGAATCTTAGGGAACTAATGCAGGGTATTTATAGAAGAAATTGTGGAAAAAATATTGATTAGTTTAACGTGAAGCCATGAAAGGGTTGTAGATCAGAGAATATATATATTTTAATTAAAATTTGTATGTGTATCATTGCAGCAAAAAAGGTAGAGGTGGCATATATGGCAAATTATACGGTGCATAATCGATTATGCACCGCGAGTCTTTTTTTTTTAAATGAAAATTAACAGTGTTTGTTTCCGCCGTTTCGCACCCTTTTACAAAATGTAACTCTGTTATTCAGTGTCATTTTGTATACACTACAGTTTCAGTTGAACACAACTACAGTTTCATTTCGATATAACTATAGTTTCATTCGATATTTATAGACTCAAATATGTGAAAATGTTATTTAATTTTATTTTATATATACTATAATTTCATTAAAACACAACTACATGATCATTTTGATATAATTACAGCTTCATTGTACAATATACACTCAAATATGTGAAATATTATTCAGTTTCAGTTTATATACACTGCAGTTTCATTTCACTATAACTACAGTATCATTTTGATATAACTGCAGTGTCGGTTTGGATATACTGTAGTGTCAGTTAGTGTTTAATACACCAAACAAGCGGACTCCGTTAACTCTAACGGCGGACCGTTTCTTTACTTAAAGAAACGACGTCGTTTTTTACCGCGGTGCACATGCACCGCGGTCTATAATATAACGACTGGGCATATATGGGTTGGTTTAAGTCCAAATCCGTTGAGATTTATTTTACCATAGGTAAATATTCTTTCCTATTTTTTTTTTAATGTGATTAGTTAGTCATAAAATAATTTTCTTACCTTTATTTTTTCTCCCAAATCTTACCTTAGCTTTATTTTCTTTGTTACCCTTAGAGTAGCCTATATATATATATATATATATATATATATATATATATATATATATGGAAGGGATCAGGTGCATTTGTGGCTTCCCGTGCGGTTGTGCGGTGGCACTACTGAAAATTATTGAATTTTCGACTACCTGATAGTGATCTTAAATCAAGTCGAAAGTCTTGTTCCGACCACTTTTGGTATCCGGAAAAAGCATTGTTGCTATTTCCGACCACTGTTTGGTATCAACTTGATTTAAGATCACTTTCAAGTGGTCGGAAATTCCATAATTTCCAATAGTGTGGATTAATGTGCGTGAGGTTTATACTTAATGTGCGTGAGTGTTGTGTTTAATGTGCCTGACATTTGTACTTAATGTGCGTAATGTTAATATGCGTGAGTTTTGTACTTAATGTGCCTGAGTATTGTACTTAATATGCGTGAGATTTGTGCTTAATGTGCGTGATGAGTAGTTCATAATTACGAGCTCAGAAGGAAGCAGAACATAAAACTCACGCACATTAACGCCCAAGCTTCTTGTTACTTCTTCCTTCAATTTGGCCATGGATTCTGGATTATCAGCTACCTGTGCAGTTGAATTTTTATATAGATGACGCCGCACAGCAAAATTTACACACCAGCTAAGTGTGGATTTCTGTTGTATTATTCCCATAATTCTTAACCACCATAGCCCGCCTCCGCACATCATCATCAGGGAGGGGGCAATGGCTACTGGGGATAGGGAAGAAGCTGATATCCATATTTTCTGCTGCATTTTACACATTCACGTACATTAAGTACAAATCTCAGGCACATTAAGCACAACACTCACGCACATTGAGTACAAATCTCACGCACATTAATCAACCGCACAACCGCACGAGAAACATTCAACCGCACGGGAACCTTTATATATATATATATATATATATATATATATATATATATATATATATATATATATATATTAGGTTTCTCTATTCTTAAACACAATCAGTATAGTTTATATTTTTCCATTTTCCAACATGGTATCAACAAAAAGTTAAATCTCTATATTCTGTATTTTTTTTTTTCTCTCCAGTTCATCACCATGGCTAAGAATTCTCAATCTTCTCTCATGGATGAAACTCCGTTAATTTCAACCACCGTCACCACGTACTTCCACCACTCACATCGATGTAGAAAACTCATATTACCTTCATTCTTCCGATGGCACAGGAACCTCCCTCGTCGACACTCCTCTCGTAGGCATTGAAAATTATACTTCTTGGGCTTTGGCGATAACGATGGCTTTAAGAGTTAGAAACAAATTTTGCTTTATTGACAGAACTCTAGCCATACCCGACACTTCCCACCCTGATCATGCTAGATGGCAAAGGGTATTGTAATGTCATGGATTCTCAATTCTATTCATTCATCCCTTGCCCATACTGTTTTGTATGCTTCGCTGCTATTGTTTGGTCTGATTTAAAAGATCATTTTTTTTTACAGCAAACGAACCCCGAATCTTCGAGCTTGAGTTGTGCATCGCAACGTTACGCCAGAATGATACCTCTATAGCCGATTATACCATACCATGTTATGCAGCCTCTGGGATGAATTAAATATCTTAGATCCTCCTCCTAAATGCTCATGTTCTTCTCGTACTTATTATTATTATTATTATTATTATTATTATTATTATTATTATATATAAACCAATTTTATAAATTTAATACTTATATTTTAAGAAATAACAGACTAATTCCTACTAATTATAATGTAAATTTATTTATTTATTTATTTGTATAAGACAACTCTTAGTGTTAGGATCAAACGCTTGCCATTACACCATAAGTCATAAGTAGTAGTTGTGTAGCAGTTAGCGCCACATTTCAGCACTTACCAGCTTCAACTACACAATATGCTTTCAATGAGATTCAAACCCTTGACCTAGACCAAGTGCTTTTTTCTACGACAAAAAACTATAGCTAGTAGTTAAAATACAACTTTATTTCTTTATACTTGTGTAGCGTTAACGCCACGTTTTGATAGTAGGAAGCTAGACTCACTTCTCCAAGCTAGCCGCCGCGCAATACTTATAGTATAATGTATAAAAAAAAAGGACATAATAAATAAATGTTATCAACCTTAGCTTCATTCACACTAGCTCTAACATATATATATATATATATATATATATATATATATATATATATATATATATATATATATATGCGGAGATGAGGTTTAATCTCTGCCGTAGATCTAATAAAAATCAACAGCCTAGATTGAGCACAAATTATTAAAAAAAAAATGCGGTGGTAATTTGGTCTTTTTGCATCTCGGTCAAATTTAAGGTGCGTGGTTTTCCTTCTTAATGTGCGTGGTTTTTATGCTTAAAGTGCGTGGGTTCTGTGCTGTCTGCTTAAGGTGCGTTAGTTGTTGAAACTTAAGGCGCGTCGGTTTAAAGTTTTAGGTGCGTGGTTTTCCATCTTAAGGTGTGTGACCTGCGTGCTTAAGGTGCGTCAGTTGTTGAAACTTAAAGTGCATCGGATTAAAGCTTTAGGTGCGTTGTTTTCCTTCTTTAAGGTGTGTTGTTTTCCTTCTTAAGGTGCGCCAATTTTACAGTTGTCTTCTATAGTAGAGGACGCACGTTTGTTTTTTTTTTTTTTGTTTAATTTTCATTTATTTGAGCCGTTGATCTAAATTTGATCAACGACGGCTCAAATCTAACCCCATCTTTCACTAAGGAGCACTCCGCACCTGATGTCGACCTTATATATATATATATATATGGAAGGGTTCAGGTGCGGGTATAACTTCCTGAGCGGTTAACTAAAAAAGACGCACCTTAAGACTTAAAATGGCTCACCTTAAGTATACAAACCACGCACCTTAACCACAAAAATAAATCACCTTAAGCACACAAACAAAACACCTTATTAAGAACATGAACCATGCACCTAAAGTTTTAAAATGGCGCACATTAAGTTTCAACAATTGACGCACCTTAAGTATACAAATCACTCACATAAAGAAGAAAAACAACGCACCTAAGAAGGAAAATCACGCATGTAACACCCCCGATTTTCACAATATTTTAAAAGCTTAAATTCATAAGGCAAGGTAACTAACAGGTATCATAAAACTTAAACAACAGCGGAAATCTTAAATTAAAAACGGGAAAAGCGGGAAGTGCTATGCCACATCCATCTCAATGTGGATGCACAGGCAATTCTAAAACCAACATACTATCTTGTTCAACATAACCACGGCACACAGGCCCAAAACACTATCTACAAAGTCCAAGGGAGCTACATTACAACCAACAGCTAGCGGACTCGCCATAAGCTACTCAGGACCTGTAAAGCAACATAAAGAAAGGGGACGACGCCCGGTCAGCGAATATTGCTGGTAACCCATCAATACGCGCTAGGTAGCATATATAGATAGTATAAAACAAAACCATTTTCGAAACGGAATACAGTATATATCAGTTCAAAAGCCAAGAGAGAAGTCACTGCAAAGACTCTATTTCACTCTCAAAGAACAAGGGAAATCAACATCCCAAGACAACATCAAGACAAGAACAACAACAATA